TAAGGTACTTTCCTTCTATACCAATTTTGTTAAGTGTTTTGATCATAAATGGATACTGTATCTTCTCGAAGGTTTTTTCTGCATCTATTGATATGATCATATGATTCTTATTTTTTAATTTGTTAATGTGGTGTATCACATTAATTGATTTGTATATGTTGAACCATACCTGTGACCCTGGGATGAAGCCCACTTATCATGGTGTATAATCTTTTAATATGTTGCTGTATTCAGTTGTCTAGTATCTTATTTAGGATTTTTGCATCTGTGCTCATGAGAGATATTGGTCTGTAGTTTACTTTTTTGGTGTTATCTTTATCGGGTTTTGGTATGAGTAATACTGGCCTCATAAAATGTGTGATCCAGTGGTTTTTAAGAGTGTGTTATTTATTTTTCATGTATTCGGGATTTTTTCCTGTACTTACTGTCATTTATTTCAAGTGTCATTCCGTTGTGGGTAGGTGAGTAGTCCTGTATTTGTCTGTTAGGTCCATTTGGTTTATAGTGCTGTTCAAGTCCACTTCTTCTTTATCAATCTTCTGGCTGAGTGTTCTAGCCACTATTGAAATTGCAGTATTGAAATCTACTATAATTATGTTGCTGTCAAATTCTCCTTTCAAATTTATCAATATTTGTTTCATATGTTTAGGTGCTCTGATGTTAAGTGCATATATATTTACAATAGTTATATTTTTCTGTTGAATTGACCCTCCTTCTTTGTCTCTAGAGGCAGCTTTTATTAAAGTTGAGCGTGGGAGCCTAGGGTTTGGGAGCTCACTCTTTATTGGTAAATTTAAAACATAAGAGCGGGAATTTAAAGTACAGGAAAAGAAAATACAAACAGTCCAAATGGTCAGTTATCTATGGACCCTGGGGGTGGAGGGCAGCCTGGCTCTTTATCTACTCAAGCTGCTGGTAATGTGTTTATACACATAGCCATTTTTGAACTGGATACCTCCACAATCAAAGCTTAAGTCAGGCACTTGAGTTACAAAAAGGAAGGGCTTAGACACACACCTAAAATAAAGCAGTGACAAAAGTGGCAGTAAACATTTTCTTGAGAGATATAAACAATGGCAGGTATATTCCATGCCTGCATCAGCCTGAGTGTCTTTATTCATAATTTTATTTCCTAGAAATACCAACTGGCTTGCTGAAAGAAAGATTGGCTCTGCTGTAGCAGAACTTTCTACCACTAATTTGCAGTAGTTTTTCCTACCATTCAAAAGCTTGTCTGCAAAGACTCAAAGACAAACCTTCGTAGAGAAACCTTTCAGTAGTAGAAAAAACTTATAGGAACTCTCAGTGGCTCAGCCTTCAGTCTGCCTTCATTGTTATCTAGATTGAGTCTCCTGGTGGCAAATATGTGAAACAAATTTTGTCTAGCTTAGATTAAGTGGGAAGGAAACTTTTCCAAGACTCTAGCATCACTACTTCCAAAAATTATGGTAACCCTGTATAAGAGAAGCTTAATCTTCCAGAGAAAGTGACCTAGACTGTCAGTACTACCATCAATTGCATTTCCATTGAGTACATGATGTCAACTTATAAGGTGATACCCTTTAAATATGAAACTTAATAGAAAAAAAAAATGTTCTAATCATAGACTCCCTAAAATGAACGAAGAGAAAAAGTGAAACTATATTCTCCGGGTATTCTAACCCTAAAATATACATATTTAATTTGAATCCAACAGATTTTCATGAAAATGATATATTTGGTGACTCTAGAAAATTACAAATTAAAATTGTCATTTAGAAATATACTGGCATTTTATATGAGATTTTTCTTCACAAAAAAGAACAAGGCTAATTGATAACAGAAACATCCATCACACATTTTCCAAAACGATCATTTTGCAATCTCTGGAATCACAATGGATTTCTTTCAACATGACCAGTGTGTTCTAGCCAACAATTTTCTCAAGGCCTCTTTTACCTCTTTATTCCTTAGACTATAGATGATGGGGTTCAACATGGGGATCACCACCGTGTAGAACACAGACACCACTTTAATATGGTCAGGTGAGTGGCTGGACTTAGGTATGACATAAACAAATGTGACTGTCCCATAAAACAAAGTGACTGAAGTAAGGTGGGAAGTGCAAGTAGAGAAGGCCTTGTGCCTTCCTTCAGTAGAGTGCATCTTCAAGACTGAATGTAGGATGTACAGATATGAAAAAACTATGATAAACAGTGTGATTACAATGATTGACCCAGCTGAGATGGCAGGAGATATTTCAGCAACATAAATATGGGTACAAGAAAGCTGCACTAGTGGTGGGAGGTCACAGAAGAAATGGTTGATTTTATTAGGTCTACAGAAAGTCAGGCTCAATAAACAGCCAGTAAATGATGAAGCATTCACACATCCACCCAGATAGGAAGCAACCAGTAGGATGATGCAGACTCTGGGAGACATTTGTGTAGGGTAGAGAAGCGGGGAGCAGATGGCCACATAGCGATCGTAGGCCATGGCAGCCAGCAGGAAGAACTCAGCCGTTCCAAACACAACATCAGAGCCGAGCTGGGCTATGCAGCCAGCAACAGGGATGGTAGTTCTCTCTTTTAGGAAACTCACAATCATGATAGGTGTGACTGATGTGGAATAACCAATATCCACAAAAGCCAAATGACTCAGGAAAAGGTACATCGGAGTGTGAAGCTGAGGGCTTCTTTGGATTAACATGATTATGCTGATATTGCCCAACATGGTAGCAACATAGATTCCCAGAAAAACCACAAAGAAGACAGAACAAAGCGTAGGATCCTCTGTTAAACCCAAAATAATGAATTCTGTCACTGCAGTGTGGTTTACAGTCTCCATCTTATTTGGAATGATACCTGTTGACATAAAAACTGGTGGATACTAGAATAAATTAAATGATCTCATAATTAATATGTTTACTTTACCATTCGACCTACTAAAAAATCAAAACATAGATCTCACTTTTGTCTAATGCTCTCGCATTTGCATCATTTGATCAGACTGTTGAATGAACACCTACAGCGATGACATCTTGAGAACCTGATGAGAACCAGAATGTTCAAAGTGATGGACCTTATACTACTGTTTACCAATATCCAACTTCTCTTTCTTGATCACACTGGAGACCACACCTCCCAGCTCCCTCACAGTGAACAGTACATGCCAGTGAGACTGTGAACAGTACATGCCAATGAGCTATATCTCTTCTGGATTAAATTACCAGTGGGCAACACTCTCTTCCTCTTCCAGTGACATAATCTACATGATACAATTGTAAAATAATAGTACTTCCATCAGCCTGGAATATGAGGAAATGTTGATAATAGAGAATATACTGGAAGTATACTGGAAGTGAGCAATCTATGTTGTGTTAGAGCACACTGAGTTTCTAGGGTTAATTACAGATTGGCTGTAAGTGGAAGCTGCAAATAGAGTTTAATCCTGAGAGTAACACAAGAAATAAATCCACTTTGGGTCATTAATTGTCCTTTAGGTTCTACAGGTACTAACAAAAGTATACATTTCATAATCACATATGAATAACATATATATATTAGAATATGTTGACAAAATGCCCACATGCTTTTATTAGGCTAGCCAGGTGAGACCAAGAAAATAATATATAAAATAAAGGAATATCAAGAACTCATTTCACCTAACATAAAGTTAAGGTTTAATCAAAAGAATGAAAATATTAAAATTAAAGAAGATTTCCATTTTAAGTCATATTGTGAAATATCCTAAAACATTTTCAATAAAATACTTGGATGAACTGCTAATTTAAATATTTTTTAAAGTTCAGAATGCAGAAATGAGCTTTCATGTAATAAAGGAAATCTCCACCAACCAGAAATGATGTGAGAGTTGATAATTAGAAAAATAAGCTGAAGCAGAACTGCAACTGTCTAGAGACATTTGCCAACCTCTACAACTAAGGACCTTGTGCCTTAATAGCTGTGCAGGCACTAAGGATAAGGGTTTGGGACCATGCAGCTTGTAGAGTTAAAAATAAGACTCTCATGCCCTCTTTAATACATCTACTCATAATTCAAGAAACCCATGCCTTCAACCTCAATGAAATGAGTCTTAAAAATATCCTTTAATTAGTCAACAGAGAGAAGAGAAGGAGAATTTTCTGTCTCTGCCTAGTTCCTAAGAGAAAGAAACAACAACATAAATCTCCTATTCTAAGAAGTAATTATAATTGGTTCATCCTGATAGAGAATTCGGATTTGAATTTGCACTCCTTGTTTAGTGTAAAACTCCAAACTCTGAATTATCATAAAATAGTCATGCATTGGCAGTAATACAAAATAGATGTTATAGATTAAAGGTACATCTGTGACAGCATAAAGATGAATGCTAATTTGTTGTACTACTCCTACGGAGGGAGGAGTTCAATTACCAACCACTTGATTTTAAGCAGGATTTAGTAACTTGCTTGACAAGGAGAAATGACTTTTGATGCTAGATCTTAAGAAGCTGTGAGGCTTCCTTTTAGGATTCTTAAATGTTCATCATTGAAATCTTACCTATGGGGACTTAACTCCATGCTGTGAGAAGCCTAAGCCACGTGGAGTGACAAATATAGCTCAGTTCCCAGCAGGTAGCGAACATCAACAACTAGCCAGTGCAGCCCAAGCATGTGAATGAAGACCCCATCTAGGAAGTGGATTCTGCAGCCACAGCTGTCCCAAGTGATGTTACACGGGTCACTGTCAAACAGCTTAGATGAGTGCTTCCCAATTCCTGATCCATAAAATTATGAGAAAAAATAACGTGGTTCTAGTAGACCATATTTTGGTGTAGTTTATCAGCAATAGATAATTAAACATTGGCTCAAAGAGCCAATGACAATATTATCTGGAGAGACAGATCTTCACAAGTCCCAAAGATTCCCACACTGATAAAGACCCAACAGAGATTAATACGCAATTCAAAACTACCACACCCAAGAAGAAATGAGCTACCATAAGTAAGAATTAGCATAAGTAAGGAATAGTTTATACTCTAGGACTTCAGATGATAGAATTACCTAAAACAGTATAAAAATAATTGTTTAAAATGTTTAAATATAATATATTAAAAATCTGAGAAGGCTCAATATACTACATAAAAAACAAATTTAAAAAAAATAAAAGAGTACTAGAAATGAAAAATGCTGTCATTTAATTAAAACTCAAGGAATAGTTTAAATAGAAGATTAAAGATATGTAACCTGGAAACCGATATGAAGGTATTATTGAAAATACAGAGATGAAA